GAGAGTTCCTTTTTTTTTTACATCTTTATTGTAGTATAATTGCTTTACAATGGTGTTTTAGTTTCTGCTGTATAACAAAGTGAATCAGTGATACATATACATATGTTCCCATATCTCTTCCCTCTTGCATCTCCCTCCCTCCCACCCTCCCTATCCCACCCCTCTAGGTGGTCACGAAGCACAGAGCTGATCTCCCTGTGCTATGCTGCTACTTCCCACTAGCTATCTATTTTACGTTTGGTAGTGTATATATGTCCATGCCACTCTCTCGCTTTGTCACAGCTTACCCTTCCCCCTCCCCACATCCTCAAGTCCATTCTCTAGTAGGTCTGTGTCTTTATTCCCGTATATATGGTAAGAGAGTTTTTAACCAGAGGGCTTTGATTTTCTCAGTGAAGAAGAAGGCTATGATCTATTGCTGAGAACGAGGGTGTAGGGTACAGGGTTGGCGATAGGAAGAGAGTAAAGAAACTTTGCAGCAGCAACCAGGGGGACTGGGAGAAATTGCTGACCGAAGGCAGAGAGAAGCCTTTAGTAGCAAAGAGGATGCAGGTGAGCCTGGGGACTGTGAGTCAGTGGTGACACCGGATCTTGAAGATATGGTTTTCTTCATGAGGCATTGCTGTTTAGAGCAGAGAAGGTCAGCATTTAGGCTAAACAGGGCTGGGGGTCTATCCAGGTGTAGGAGACTGAAGGGTAGGGGGCAGAGAAGGAGGGGTACAAGGAGTCCAAGCTGGAAAGAAAGTATGAAGGAGGGTAGGGGGGTTAGGAAATGGAATGATTGGGTTCAGGACTGGACAAGCTGGTGTGGCTGAAGAACCCAACTGCTGAAAGTGAGAGAGTTATGAATGGTACCGTGGTGTGAGATCAGAGTTTGAAACTTCAGAGACGAACCAGTTTAGGGTCTAGAGAGGGGACAAGGGCAGAGACAAGAGGAAACGGATGAACGTGAAAGTCACTGGAACTGAGGAGCTAAGGAATGATCAGGCTAAGATGCTGAGTGGGTCACGTGCCTGGAGATGAGGGTGCCAGGGTGAAGAGGATCACACAGGACCAGGTGCCAGAGTCCCTGGTGAGTGTGAGGGGGTGGCCAGGGTATTAGGAGGTGACTGTGGGGCCCGCAGGGACCAGCCACAGGGGAGGGGATGGACGTGGTATAGCATGAGCCTCCTGGGACATTTTAAAAATTACAGTGATTTTGTACAATCAATATATAAAGGTAAAATTTCAATCAGTATATAAAGGCTTTTTTTTTCAATAGATAGCATTCCTCTGAATATATGTAGCCCAATGCATTGAATCACATCCCACAGATGGGCATTTATGCTGTTTCCTGTTTTTCTCTAGTATAAAATAATGGAGGTACAGACCACATGTATGTGTGCGCTTTTGGTGAGAACATCTGTAGGATAAGCTCCTGGCAGTGAATGTACTTGATCAAGGACAAGTGTATTCATTTTATTTGTTTTGTTTATTGAGGTAAGGGCAAATGTCTTTAATTTTGATAGCTACTGCCAACTTGCCCTCTAACGAAGGTGCGCCAATAGATGACCCCGCGCACAAAGGACAGAACTCTCTGTTACCCGCACACTTTCAACACTGTTAGCAAACTAGTCTTTGATAATCTGACAGGTGCACATGGCTTTTTATTGCTATTCTGTGGCATTTCTTTAATTTGAATGAAGTTGAGTATTTTTTCTTTCATATTTACTATTTGATTTTGTTTCTTTCTTTTCTTTTTTTTCTTTTTTTCTTTTTTAATAAGTTACCTAGTAGTTCAAACTGCCAAGGTTCAAATCCTGGCTTTTCTACATACTAGCTGTGTGACCACGGGCCATTTCCTTAAATTCGTTGTGTTTCAATTTCTTCTTAAAATGAGATAATAACATACACTATGCGAAGTGCTTAGAACAGGGCCAGGCACATGCTAGGTAAGTACTCTATAAGCATTGGCTGATAATATCCACGTCTGTTGCCCACTTTTCTGCTGCGTTGTCTTTTCCTTATGGATTTGTCTCTTCTGGAAAGCCTGTTGGCTGTCATATATGTGTTTTGTCATTTGACTTTATTTTTTTTTAATTTTTTTGCGGTACGCGGGCCTCTCACTGCTGTAGCCTCTCCCATTGCGGAGCACAGGCTCCGGACGCGCAGGCTCAGCGGCCATGGCTCATGGGCCCAGCCGCTCCGCGGCATGTGGGATCTTCCCGGACCGGGGCACGAACCCGTGTCCCCTGCATCGGCAGGCGGACTCTCAACCACTGCGCCACCAGGGAAGCCCCCTTGACTTTATTTTTAAGATATTACATTCCATGAGAAAATATTACATGGCTTTTGTTATGATTGCAATCATTGGAATTCCAAGACAATGAAAACACATTATGCCTTAAATATTTTATACTTTAGGAATTTGAGGAGGTGTTTTGAGGGGTTGGACAATGAGTAATGGAGCCAGAAAGAATGTCTCCCCCACCTCTCCAGAGAGGACCAGCCACTTCCAGCTTTGAGGGCTGCAGGACCGTGGTATCTGGACAGGTTTAGTGACACCAAGCAGGGCTGCGGAACTTGGGCTCCCTGTTTGTTCACAGCTGGGTCCAGAGGTGCAGGGGAGGCCAGGCGGGCAGTGGGAGGACAAGTGATGTGCACGGCGGGTTGTGTGTGTGTGTGTGTGTGTGTCTGTGTGTGTGTGTGTGTCTGTGTGTCTGTGTGACAGAACACTACAGAGATGGAAGCGAGCCTCTGGATTACGGAAGGACAACTGCGAAAGGCTTTGGAAATGAATTCATCTCAAGATTATGCCTGGAATCTCCTAACAGGGTGTCTGTGAGGCCAGCAGAGGCATGGGCTGGTGGGAGACTGGGTTTAGATGAACCAATGGACGGGGCAGTCTTGTGGGGCAGGAATTTGATCTTCGGCCTCTTGGTGTTGACACTCCTCGTGAAGCCCTCCAGAGGGCGTTTCTGTGGGCAGCCTGGCACCCAGTGGGCTCATGGCGTTGGCCTAGGAATGGAGAGACAGGAAGAGACTGGTGAGGGCTGGAGCCACCAGGAACGCTTGGGGGAGGGGATGGGGAGGTGATGGGCAGATCCTGGGTGGGTCTGGAATGGGGAAATGTGGCCGGAGGCGAGGCTGCATCCTGGGCCTGAAAAGCCCACAGACCGTTTCCCCTTTGTAGTGTCCTCCCAGCTCCCTCTCCCCACGAACCTGAGGATTTCGTCTCTGGTGAAGAAGCTGTGGCCCAGGGTGGGGCAGCGACTTATTCAGGGTCACCAACATTGCCCTGCCAGAGTTCCCAGGCCAGGCTCTAGGGAAGCAATGGGGTGGCGGGGAAGGGAGGGATTCCTGGCATGGGCAGGGCATAGCCTCCAGAGGGCAGATCCAGGTG